GTGATACAGGCTGACAGCAACTGCTTTTAATATTAATACAAATAATTGTCAATGACAGCAGATTGAGAATGAGAAGACAGATATGACCACAGCAGAAATGTCATAATTACCACCAGCACACCCCTTCTCCCCCACCCCCTACTAACCCAGAAGACCTTAGGCTTTAAATACCCTTTGATGATGGTTGACTACTCTTTCTGGACTGTACAAGTGAGATTAACATTTAAATTTTAAAACGTGCTGTATAACTGATGTGTTCTGTTACAATGCTATGACCACGGTTACACTGTTGATGACATGTCTTATGGCAAGTTGTGCACCATACAAAGCACAACAAAAATAAAGAATTAAAAAAAAAAAGTGTGAAGTGTTGCATCTCTCTTTAAGTTTCACTACCTTCTTTCTTAACCCTTTAATAAAGTTTGACCAAAAAGTTTTTTTGTTTTTTTTCCACCATGATGCTTAAAAATTCTTGATTGGAAAAACATATAAATATTTTAAAAAACAATGTACTTAAATCTCCTTTTCCATTCAACTTTTTCTATAGTTTACCAAGGCAGAGATATATTTTAATATTATATTTTATTATAATTTATGTTTTCAAAGACAGAGATGTATTTTAATTCTATATTGAATTCTGATTTCTTTTAATGTTATTTTTTTTTTTTCAGAATAAGATCTTAATAAAGACTGCAGAACAAGCATAAAATAATGAAAACACTCAGGAAATGAACACTATATGACAGGCATTATGTTGAGAAAGGTTATTATTGTGAAAGTGAATAGTAAAATTCCATCGTATGGAATATTATAACAATTGCTCAATTGATTCATGTCTAGCTAGAGGTTAAAGGAGGATCTCGCTGTCAGAAAACACTTATTGAAGGCGGTGGCCTGTAATCTGTTGTAATATAAATGCAACAAAGGGCTAGATGGAGGCAGAAGCATCAACATCATTATTATCATCAACATCAATAAAATCAATAGTCAGAAAGTATAGATGTAAAAAAGAGAAATATCAATACGGAGAGCGGATGTAGTTATACTTGCACCACTCTATGAAACATTCATTTTCAATGAAATCTAAAAGGAACAAATTGTGCTTCTGTGACTAGAATTGCTTTATAAATGAAAGGAGACTTTTCTGTGACAAACAGACTTTACATCACTTTGTAATAAGTACATTTGTTTACAAATAACAAACTTACACAATGCCAATTAACACACAGACACACACTTTCACAAATACAAAAATGAAAACAAAAACTAAGAACAGGTTATTGCACATATAAAATGCTTACCCACATTTGTAATACACATTGCATATAACACACATCTACATATTTGCCATGAATAACACAGTGCATAGATATAACCTATAACTGCCCAATCGATTTACTCTATTACAAAAAAATACCAAGTGAATAAAAAACAAAAAACAAAACACAATTTGATATTCATACAAATCATTTTATGACACACACCAGGCAATCACAACACATATGGCAAGTATTCCATCTTTAAAAAAATTGTATCCCGTAAAGCAAGCCGAAAGCGGGTGGACCAGTGATGTGAACTGTGTTAATGGTGCCTCCAATTTGGATGGTCCAACTCCAATTTGGATGGTCCCAAAGAAAAGTCATGCTCATTCATGCAAGGTTGACTACCAAGCACACTGGCCAGTTCCATTACCTGATGTTACAGCACTCTCTGCATTGTTTAGTCTTAGCATAACACTAAATTTTTTGGTGTGCAGCTTTTGGGGACGAAATCTAGAACAGCAAAACAGGTCTTTGAAATGCTGACTGTCCAACCAGATTTGGGACTGTTGTGAGACTTGCATTCCCTTATCAGCCCCCATGTTGACCGTGCTGACTCATAAAGGTTATACAACTGCACAGATTGCTGTAGATGCAATTTCCCCTAGAGCAGAGGTGGCCCTAAAGATGAGGACTACAAACATAAGAATGCTTTATCACCATTATTGTCATGCCAGAATGGGACTAATAAGATACCATGGAAGGGGCAGAGCTAGCAGCCATCGTGAGCTCTGGGAGATACGCCGACTTGAGCCCATTCTGTGATGTACAGAAAGCCCAAAATGGAGCCTGGCCGATACCTACTGCCTCCGGGGGAAAACACCCACAAGTCCTGGCCAGAAAGGAGTGAGGAATCCTGTGATATTGGGGATCTGGTGGTGGCCCCACCGCTAAGGTTGCCTTCCTGCTCCTCGGGAGATCTGGAATATGATGCTCCGGACCCAATCCCAGTAACCAGGGCCTCATCTGCGAAGACGAATAAAAGAGTTACAAAGATGGACACACATGCAGATACTCAGACATATAGATATACACTGACACACATGCAGATTCACAGATAATCTGACTGCAGACAGACACACACACACACACACATACACATATACTGTCAGAAATAATGACACACAGATTCATACACTGACAGACACAGATACATACACTGACAGACATTCTGATACACATTGACAGACATACTGACACACACACAGACAGGCATACTGACAGACACACATACATACTGACACAAACACACTGACATATTTACACACACCACAGACAGACATACTTACACACACAGACAGACATACTGACACACAGACAGATATACTGACACACAGACAGATATACTGACACACACAGACAGACTGATACAAACACTGACAGACATACTGCTACGCACACATACAGACATGCACAATTGACATTTGGAAACCCTTTTGCTGGAGGGTGGCTTCCCTGGAGTCCAATGTGGTGTCTGAGGTTGTTGGAAGTAAGGGTTAGGCTCCCCTGCCTTCTTCCTCACTTCCACCTCCTCCTTGTCCTCTTCCTCCCTCCTGCGCAGCTGTATTTTTTCTCTGTGAGGAAGTGACTTGCGACTGTCACTTCCTCCCAGCACTGCCGCAAAGCAAGGGCCCCTGCTGATAAAAGTGCATGGGCCACCCTTGGTGTCCTTGATGTGTAGGCCCACGACTGCACCGGTGGGCCCATGGGCGATAAAATGAGATTAGTGAGGGCAGCGGGCCCCCCCCCCCCGGAGTAAAGTTGCCCTGTTTGCCCCACATTGGCCTTGACTGTTTGGAAAGTATTTTTTAGCAGTACTGAAGCATTATGAAGCCTATTAAATCAGGCTCTTCAGGGTGAAGAAGAGCCTTCCTGGTGAAACGCCCATCAGGACTCGGCTCAGAAGCTTACTTAGCCCGGCTGCCTTTACAGAGTATCCTCTCCGGAATGGCACTTTATCGCCGCATATGATAACACAGACAAAAGCTTGGGAATGCAGCCACACGGCTTCTGAGCCCAGATTGCCTAAATTGAACTAACCTATTCATACCTTAATTGAACTATCTTATTCATGTTAGGAGGGATTGGGTCTCTAATTGCCTAGACGGACCCTATTATATATCTTAGCTAATAGGTGCCCTTGAAGGCACAGCATAGTCAGCTAAGATTCACTACTAAGTAGGTGCCCACGTAGGCACAGTTTAGCATGTGAGCTAAGACCACCAAGCAACTATATTGATCCTAAGTATATAATATATAGGCTATTCGGCTAGTACCTGCCACAATGTTCTCTCTCATGATTGGTTAGCTCTGTTGTTATTCTGTAGTACCTACTATTCAGTTTAATCATATAAAAAGGTGCCCTTAAAAGCACTATTGAGCATTACTGCTCTAGCTCTCTATTCTGGTTCATATCTTTTTAATGGACTTAACCAGCAGTTTCTGTCACTATCCCTTTTGGGTCTATTGCTACACTTTTTTCTTTGCAAACTCCTTTAGTAGCAACAAAGTGATAATTTTGTTACTAACCTTTACCAGAATGTTAGGTGTCAGACAGAACAAGAGATACAAACTGCAAATTAGGAACATATAGATACATATTTTTATACATCTTTTCTTTTTCTCCTTTTTGTTTTTCGTAAGGTCTTTCAATTTATAGTTGCATGATAGTACCTAATTTTTTACTGTGTGATACCTTAGACATTATTTTCTCCTCTTTTTTAAGATTAAGAATACAAATAAGTTTTTAAAACTTTATAACAATTCTTTATATTTCTTTCAGTGGGATGTGCTGTTTTAACTCCTGTTTTTAAAGCATTAAAATATATTTGGCATTAACTACTAGTTGTGTTTGTCCATTTGTTTTTGTCCAATTCTCTCAGACTCAACTGTAAAGGAGGCGGCGTTGGCATCCCCTCAATGTACCTTTCAACCAATCATAACTCCCCCTGCCCTATCCTTTTCCTCTTTTGAAGTTCACACTGTCCGCCTATTTAAACCCACTCCTTTAAGAATTGCTATCATCTACCGCCCCCCCGGTTATCCTAGACTATTCATTGAGCACTTTTCTTCCTGGCTTCCCCACTTCCTCTCATCTAGCACTCCTTCCCTTATACTTGGGGATTTCAATATCCCAATCAATAACCCCAATTGCACTGATGCCTCTCGTCTGCTCTCTGTAACCTCCTCCTTTGGCCTTACGCAATGGTCCAATTTAGCAACCCATACAGCAGGAAACACTCTTGATCTTGCCTTTACCAACCTCTGTACTGCCTCTAATCTCTCCAATATTCCTTTTCCTCTATCTGACCACCATCTGCTGACTTTTGACATTGGCATACCTAAGACTCAATTGACACCACCGTCTGAACATCACTCTCACAAAAACCTCCAATGTCTTGACCTAGAGCATTTCTCCACTAATCTTCAAACTCTCCTTTTACCTATCTCAAACCTCACCTGTCCTAGTTCTGCAACCACCCTCTACAATTCCACCCTCTCCTCTCAACTAGACATCATGGCACCTTGTACATTTAAACGCTGCAGGCCCCCCTAACAACAACCCTGGCACACCAAGCTCACTCGATACCTCCAAAAATGCTCCAAAACTGCTGAACGCTGTTGGAGAAAGTCTCACTGTGCATCTGACTTTCTCCACTATAAATGTATGCTGAGCTCATACAGCTTGGCTCTTTCCTCTGCAAAAGTTAATTACTTCAATACCCTCATAACCACACTCTCCCACGAACCCAAACGACTATTTCACACATTTAACTCTCTTCTTCACCCTGCTGTTCCTCCTCCACCTACTAACTTGACCGCCTCAGACTTTGCAACTCACTTCACTGACAAGATCTCTACAATCAGAGAAGAGATCTCTCATCTCTCTTCTTCCCCTTACAATACTTCCCCTAACTTCACTCCCTCTGCTGTTCTATGTTCATTCACACCCGATACATTGGAAGAGGTTTCTGATCTGCTTCAGTCCTCCCACCCCACCACCTGCTCCCTAGATCCAATTCCCTCGCATCTCATCTGTACTCTGTCTTCTTCTCTTTCTCCACCTCTCACAAAAATTCTCAATCTCTCTCTCTCCTCTGGTATATTTCCATTGCCCTTCAAACATGCAACTGTAACCCCAATTCTAAAGAAGCCCAATCTTGACACTAACTCCCCATCCAACTACTGTCTTTTGCATCCAAGATCCTTGAAAAAATTGTGTATGCGAGATTGACAGACTTCCTCGAGTCCAACTCTCTGCTAGACCCGCTTCAGTCTGGTAAGCACTCTGTGGAAACGGCACTGGCCAAAGTATCCAATGATCTACTCGCTGCAAAATCTCATGGTCACTACTCTATCCTAATTCTCCTTGACCTGTCTGTGGCTTTTGACACTGTTGATCATCAACAGCTTCTTCTCATCCTCCGCAATATCGGTCTACAAGATATTGCCCTCTCCTGGTGCTCCTCCTACCTCTCCCAGTGCTCTTTCAGTGTTTCTTTCTCTGGCTCTGCTTCTTCTCCCCAACTCCACTCTGTTGGTGTCCCCCAAGGTTCAGTCCTTGGTCCCCTACTGTTCTCCATCTATACTGCCTCCCTTGGTAAACTCATTAGCTCCTTTGACTTCCAATATCATTTCTATGCAGATGACACGCAAATCTACCTGTCCTCTCCTGATCTCTCCCCATCCCTCTTGACTAGTGTCTCTGACTGCCTCTCTGCTGTTTTTAACTGGATGGCTGCCCACTTCCTTAAACTAAACTTGACCAAAACTGAAATTCTGGTCTTTCCTCCCTCAAGTTTTGTTACTCCTGTGTCTGTCTCCCTCAAAGTCAACGGTGCTACCATCAGCTCCACCATGCAGGCTCGCTGCCTAGGTGTTCTCTTTGACTCCGACCTCTCCTTCAAGCCCCATGTTCAATCTATTGCCAAATCCTGTCATTTCCATCTCAAAAACATTGCGTGCATCCGCCCCTACTTAACGCTAGATGCGACTAAGGTGTTGGTCCATTCTACTGTCCTTTCTCACCTTGACTACTGTAATCCGCTTCTCAGTGGTCTTACGTGCTCCCAATTAGCACCGTTACAGTCCATAATGAATGCGGCGGCGAGGCTCATCTTCCTGTCCGCCTGCACCTCCCATGCCTCACCCTTCTGTCAGTCTCTACATTGGCTTCCTATAAAATATAGAGCTCAATTTAAAATTCTGGTTCTTGCTTTCAAATCTCTACATAATGCTGCTTCCACCTATCTATCCTCCCTTATACACAAGTATGACCCGTCCAGGCCCTTACGATCTGCTGAAGACTTACGTCTTGTAGCGTTACTTACCTTATCCAGGGGCCGGCCGGGGTCCTCTCTTCGAACCGCGCGCGGTCCTGCTGCTGCACGAGCCGCGCGCGGCTCATCCGACGGCTTCAATAGGAAGGCGGGCAGTGACCGCGAGAAGCGGTCACGTGTCCCGCCTGAATCTAAGAGCGCGCCGCTTTGTTTCTGCCTACGTTTTCTCTTTATCCTTATCTGTTCTGGTTGCCGGCTTGTTGTTTACTGTGTACCAGACCCTGGCTAGTCCTAGTTTACGCTGTCTCTCTGTGCCCTTGACTTCGGATCGTTCCTGACTCTGTCTCCTCTCATATACGTCGAGTCCGGCCATTCTAAGGTCCGGTAGACGGATCTCTCCTCTGTGTTGTCTTCTGTTTAGCTGAATCCTGCGTCTGACTTTCTCCACTATAAATGTATGCTGAGCTCATACAGCTTGGCTCTTTCCTCTGCAAAAGTTAATTACTTCAATACCCTCATAACCACACTCTCCCACGAACCCAAACGACTATTACACGTCTATCTTCTGTCCGTACTCCCACCTCTGATGCTCGCCTTCAAGATTTCTCGAGTGCTGCACCATTCCTGTGGAACTCGCTTCCCTCCTCCATTAGATGCTCACCCAGCCTCCACTCCTTCAAAAAATCGTTAAAAACCCACTTCTTCATAAAAGCGTATCAATTAAACTGTTAATAGCTCCTGACTGAAACTGAATAGCTCTTCTGCAACTGTCACTAGTCTAATACTATCCTAACCTTTTTGTGTCATTTTACCCCACTCCCTCTAGCATGTAAGCTCATTGAGCAGGGTCCTCAACCCCTCTGTTCCTGTGTGTCCAACTTGTCTGGTTACAACTACATGTCTGTTCGTCCACCCATTGTAAAGCACTGCGGAATTTGACGGCGCTCTATAAATATCATAATAATAATAATTTATTATGCTTTTAGATGCTTTTATTATTTTTGTATATTCTTCTCTTCCTGGCACTAAGAAACATACCGAATAAGGAAACGTTGGATATTACTCCATGGAGAATCTACTTAACATTATATCTCTGGTGGGGATTAAACCACCCAAGCGCTACCATCTGAGGATGATCTACTGCTCCACCACATGTGAGCAGAATATTCTTACTTTTGATTACAGTGAACACTATTGTATGCCATTTGTTTTCTGTTATATATCAAACCACACATTGAGGTACCAGGCACCAGATTTACATATTCATCAGTGGGGATTGTACCGCTGCATGCTGCTAAACTCAGAACTGGTCTTATAGCTCCCTCAAATGTGAATGATATATCATATACATTATTGTTGTATGACCTGCACTTAGTTCCAAATGCTCTGCACCTTCACTTGTTATCTTCTGCTTTTATTTCATATACTCCCACCATTTGAAGTCTGGACGGTTACCAGTTGAGAACAGTCACCAGCAATTGTTGAATAACTGGACTTTATATTGGCGCAACTTATTATCACATAATTGTTTGGCTCCTTTTTAAATCATAATTTTACCATATGACAGGAGGCTTCATATTTGCATAACTCACTTTTACTGAAAATCTCCAGCAGCACAGAAACATAAAAAAAAATCAGAAAAAAGGAGGATGTTGCACGAAAGGCCCTGTAGGACCACGCCCTTCCTTGTTCTTTGCTGCTCCAGCTAGTGCACAGGTCAGAGTATTTTGTTCTACCTTATTCGTTTGGATTTCAATGTCTTAAAATTGATTATTCAGACTTTTTTCTACTTTCGCTGTCATCGCTCATCTATTACTTCATGACTATAGGGGTTTTATTGGTATTTATTATTCGTTCTTTTCTGCTCTTCCTCTTCCCTCTGGCATTATTTCCTCAGACTGTCACTAACTATCCTCTGCCTTATTAGCCGCAAGGCTCTTGCTGAGTTGTGGCCATTTTTTGCCGCGTTCGCGCTCATCTTTCTATCAGGGGACACTGTTTAGGGTGTGCAAGGGGCGGAGGAGTTTACAGGGTTAGTCTTACTATACCGGTTAGTTTTGGCGGGCCGCAGCTGGTGGCCCATTGCGCACGAACAGCAGCCATCTTGGATCTTGCGAGTACCAAGATTCCTTTTTCTGTCATTACAGATCGGGAATCTCTCGGTCTGGGCTCTGAGGATACAGATTTTACAACCTGCTACCAAATGTACCTATTGTGGAAGGTACTGCTTACTAAAACTATTTGAATATGCTTGTAAAAAGGATTAATACATGTTTATACTTGGAATTCATTCACATGAGTGTAGCATATATGTGGATTTTCTACATATGGCTGTCTAAAAGACAATACCAATGAATTATTACAGACCTGTTCATCCACTGGGATTATTCTGTACTGTGCCACGTGAATATTACTACTATGTGGGTGTTCTCTGGGTTTTTCACGGCACGCCACCTGGGGTGAGGCCCCAAATTATTACGTATAGCTCTGCCAGAGCAGACTTTACAAAGATATGGCACCTTACTTGTAATGTTAAAAGCTATGTGATTGGGCTGAATACTTTTGCTGATCAAGGGGTTACGGCTCACGAATTCAATGGGGTGAGCCCCAATATAATTACACACCTCCAAGCATCTGTTCAGAGGGTGAGCCCCTCTCAGGTACCAAAGCCCACAGAGTGGTCTTATTGGGTGAACCCCAAATTTATGAAACTATTATGTCTCCCATAACCACTAGAGGGTGTGCCCTCTTTCACTGGCACCTACTACACTCATGAAACTTTGCCCGCTACCAGGGTTCTTGGCGGGCCTCAGTCTGGCACCTCGTGGACTTGTTCCTCTGCCACTTCTTCACTCCAGATTCATTCCAGATCTTCATTCCAGATTCACGTGATCAGGACTTTAGGAGACCTCAGGACTAGGATTACCACTGCCTGTCCCCATTCAAGTACTATATCTCAGCAAAAGGTACTCACATCATATTGCGGGATCGTTTATACTACCTGTCATTTCTTCAAATGATACAAGACTACCAAAACAGTGTTGGACATAAGATGTATGTGGAATTTCTGGACTGAGTGTATTATATGCTGCCTGAAGGCAATCACTACTACCCTTTAACAAGGATATATTATATACTGTACCAAGTGTACAATTACTGATGTGGGTGTCCTCTGGGTTATCAAGGCACACCACCTGGGATGAGCCCCGAGCTAATATTTATCAAGTAAGGAGCACAACCATAAGTATGTACATAAAAATATATCTTTATTAAATAAGTCCAAATAATTGGATATCTCTTTAAATACGTTCAACAAAGCAAAAAAGTCACAATATCAATGATATAAAGCAACAACCAAAAACAATACTGGACTAGCATATACATCAAGTATGCAGTGCATCCATAACTAGATGTCACAGTATGTATTCATAACATGAGATATCATAACAACACATAGGACCAATACATATACAAATACAAGAACACAAACGAATACCAAACCTAGTGAGAAGACGGGAGAGAGTCAAAAAAAAAAAAAAAAAGCCCCCAACGTTTCAAGGGAGCTCCTGCTGATGCAGATCCTAATGGGATAAGTCCCCATATAATACAAAACTATCAAAACATCATTGAGTTCTACTCAAA